CTCTTTTTAGTGAGCCGAGCCGAAAGAGCCGGATCTCTAAAAAGAGCCGGAAATCCCATCACTATTATAACACCCATTTATTAGTGAAGTCCTGTTTTTAAGCCTCATGCTAAGCAGTTTTCCTGTCACCATTATTGAAACCAGAAATCACAAACATAGCGTGGAGCTGACTGTTACTGCACAGTCACATACTGTCAGTCACATAGTAGTATAGTATATCCAACACTAATGGCCATCTTGGTGCTTTGAAAACAGATGTGATGAGCAAGCCTGATATACACTGCTTTTCAAATTATTATGCAAAGGATATTTGTTGCTGACTTTCCTATATATTCAATTCAAATGACAGTCAGTATACTTTCCAAGTCATCAACTGTTAGAGCACAATTTTATTGAACAAACCTCCCATTGATAGCTGTGTTTTTGCACAAATAAAAAAAAAAAACTCAAAATGCACTGAGTTTCAAAACATTTTATTGGTTATGAACTAACTAATGAACTAAAAATGTTCATCCATCCATCAGGACCATCCAGGGTTGCACAGCATTCCTCAGTAAATAAGACTGCTTGAAAATTACTCGAGATGTATTTCCGGGCCTACTGGAACCATTCCTGCTTGTGAGCCTGCAAGCCTCTGGAGCATCCTACAGCTTGAGGTTTTCGGTACTGCCAGCAGCTTCAAATACCTGCTTGCTGCTTTGTAATGGCATTTTAGCAGCTGTTCTGTGAATCTGATGAATTTGTCTGGCAGAAACCTTCATCTCTATGCCTTAGTCTGCACGCACCCGTCTGTGCTCTGACTCAGCCACAAGTTTCTTCACAGTACAATGATCACACTTAAGTTTTCATATAATACCTAATGTTTTCAGACCTCTTCCAAGGTACTACACTCTTCATCACATATCTGCAGCACAGACCCTTTTACTTTAACCTGTGGCATGCTTAATGATGTGGAACATCCTTCTTAACTAGTTTTCATTTTATTGGACTCATCCCCTTCCAAACTAATTATAACAGCTGTCTGAGATTGATATCAGTGATCCACAGAGCCGAGAGACATGAGTTTAACTGAACACAAAAACATTTGTGACACTAAAATCTTATTTGCATAGTAATTTGGAACGCTAACTCGTAACAATGCCCATATTTTAGATCATGTACATTACGCTGAACTCAGTAACATCTGAAGCCAGAGCCCACAAATTCATCAAGAAAGCAGGGACTTGCCTCCTGTGGGCTACTAGACAGACTGACGGTGTTTACCCAGCTGCATCCATCTTTTCATTACAGTCTATGTATGGATGACTAATTCACATGACCATCTACTTTGTTCATGTCATCGTAGGCTTTGTCACTCAAATATGAGCGTATTTATCACATAACTATGATATTTTGCCTTTTGCCTCTCTCTGGCATTTTTACTGCAATCCAGCATGTCATCATTCACTAGTGTAATTGCCATTTTCTAGTCTGAGAAACATGTCACACCTGTTTGACTTTCAGAGTCAGCCAGCTGTCCAGCGAATGGACAGGGTCCTGATGGACTGTGGTTAATGACAGACACGATCACAGTCAAAGATCAGGAACTCATCCTGTCATTGTAGTCTGCTCTTGTTTCATAGTCATCGTTTCTTCACTAATTTCCTTGTTTTTCTGTTATCTGTTTTGTGATTTATTTTGCACTTTTTCCATTGTGTTTTTTTCACATTGTCAGCACAGAGCAAAGAGTTAGACACAACAGAGAGAAGGAGGCCCACAGATGTAAGCCTTCAAGCTGAAGCAAATCTGTCTGTGTGTGCTAACAATGTTATTTAGGTCTGCATCTGAGGACTTAATTGGACTTTTGTCAAAAAATGTCTCTTGCACTGACTAGATTCAGTTAAAGGGATTTGTTGTAAACAGAAGAGAAGCTCTTTTCCGTATGTCTACATGTTTCTGGGATACTTCACCTTTGTTATGTTTGTCTTTCTGCTGGTTCCTCTGCTATTCCTCTCCCTTCTGTATGTTTAATGTGTACACCAAAAAACAGAGTCACATTAGCGCTGGATAGACAGCTAGATGGACGATGAATTTCTGGATTTGTTTCTCCTCCTCGCACTTTATCTCACACTTTCTGCCTCTCACTCTCTCCATGCCTCCTCTCCTTCTCACTTGCGTCAGCATTCTGCCTGCTGATGAATATATGAATGAGATTAAAACAGTGAAACAAACACACACACACGCACACACACACACATACATACACACACAAATACATACTCTTTTCCCTCGCCAGCACATAGGTTCCTCCACACAGGGGCATAAGCATTTCACCATTTGACATTTTTTTCTGGTATGAGTCTCTTAAAGCCTCCATCGCTGTAGTTATTTTAGTTTACAATGACCTTAAACTGACAGCATTTATTTTAAGAAACATGCCGAGCGAAAGCCATTTAATGATGATGCAGCCTTCCACTCAGGAGACACAAGTGCTGTACTTTGATTTGTCACTTTAAATCAGCTCAGAGCAACTACAGCATCAAGTAAATGCTGCAGCTAACAAGCACTTTTTACAGTTTTTCTTTTTCTTTTTTTTTTTTTTTACCGAGAATCTATCCTCCCCTGTTTACAATCAAGGTGGGGTGGTCTTGCTGCATGGAAAGCACACATTAGTTATGTGTATCATAAACTGTTTGTCAGACCCAAGAGGTATAAGTGGTTCTTAACTCCAGGACTCAGAGGGACAGATGAAGGATTAGAAACAAAGCTGGGGGGATGGATAGAAGTAACAGATGAAAGCTTCAGGAGAAGTTCCAAAAAAAAAGAAATAGTAGGGAACTGCTGCGAGGCAAAGATGGATGAAGTGCAGACCTTAAAGTTGGCCCACCCTCCTTTTGTATCTTTCGCATTGCTTGTCTTTCTTTTCTTCCTCAGTCTTTCTCTCACTTCACCATAGGCTCTCTGTTTCTATGGCGACCATTCCTGCCATCACAGAGGAAGGAAAAGATACCTGAGGATAGGAAGCGAAGACAGCTGAGGAGCAAACAAACAGATGAAGACGGATGGATGAATGCATTGATTTCTAGACTTTAGACTGTGATAATAATAATACAACAATAATGCAATGTGCTGACCAGATCAAAACAGGATAGCTGGAGATGGAAGGAAATGAGCACATTTGCTTTCTTCCGAGAGTTAAATGACAAGATAGACTTCAAGTCAGTCTAATAAATATCAGTAACATTAGTTTAAAAGGGTCATGGGCTACCATTTCATGAGGTAACAGGGTGAATTTATTGGCCAGATATAATGACAAAACTTTTATTAGACTTTTATTAATCAATAAATTAATAAAAGGGAGTTGTTAAATCTTAATAATTTAACAACTCCCTATGTACCTATATAAGCTTATGTAACCATGCAACAGCTAACGCAAGCACTACACTGTCTCTACACAAGAGGTTCCTTTGAGCCTCTCTTTTTTTTTAAGTTGTTCTCATGCATGTCTAGTAGAACAGACACACTCCTACTTAAATCAATACAACTGTCTATCCGGTCTCTAAGTCTGACGTCCATTAGCCGCTTCCAGGTCCAAACTCCTCTTCAGGTCCAAAGTCAAACGAACACTGCAGCATCACTGAGAGTTAAAATCTAAATTCTTTCATCTTTAATAAAATGATCAGGGTTGCTGCTCTACCAGGGGTAGCACTTGAGTTTAACATCCAGGCATCCATGAAAACAGAATTCATGAAATTTAACGGAGTTAGAAGTTAGCAGAGTGTTAGCTCGCTAGTTTCCACCTAAACATAATATAGCAGACTGAGGGATTTCTGAAAAATTCAAACGTACAGCTCTGCTATCACTTCCGACATAAATGAAGACAGAAAACTAAACAGCAGTGACTTTTGTAGGGTTACTGAAGTTGGGCTAGCTGGTATATAATGATGTGCTACGTGACCGCTAGCGACACAGCTATGTTAGCATAACACAAACACAGTGAAGCTGAAGGATGAACGCTAACTTTTTTCAGCTTGATAAAAGTTAACGTGAGGGTTCCCGATGGTTAGAGACAAATGTAATCGCATGGCAGGATGCTGTAAACGGACCAAGCTTCAGTCAGTAGAACAACTGAGATAATCCATCCACAATACGAGGTTAGTATTTAATATACTACTGCTGCATGGGATGGGCTTTAGTTACATTGTAAGGTTTTAAAAAGTGAGCTCTAAAACATGCTGTTGATGAATAGTTATAAATAGTAGTAATAAAAACCGAGAGAGGCTGACAGTGATCACTGCCTTTTCTAGGGGCTTGTTCAGATAAAATAGAACAAGACACAAAGCATTACAAACCCGGATAAAACCCATGACAAAATTATTTCATCATAAATAACTCAGTTGTGGTTTTTAAACCACAGGTGAAATATTACGGACAAGAAAGATAACCAAGGACTCCTTATCATCCTAACACTGATAAAGCAGCTTCTTACCATCATTTCTACTAAAAGAACAATGTTGGGGTCATATCAGAAATTGAATTGGCTCAACAGACACAAAGTGTGTGCTCCTTTGCCACGAATGATTAACAACACTTAGTGCAATTTTTGTTAATGCATCATAATTTGCTAATTTATGGCATACTGTAATATTTTGCAGAACCCTTAGCAATAGTTCCAGGAGTTCTGGGACTACTTCGAGAACAACTGGTCCAGCTTAATCTAAAAAATCTCAGAAAAAAGCGACAAAGTGGTTTGAAAAATACCTGTTGGGATAAACGACCCTGTGTTGTTGAAATGCCGTTTAATAAAAAGAGTCTGGACCGTCAGGAGACATGTACATTAAATTAGCTATCTTTATTTTATGGCTATTTTCTTTGACTTCTTGCAAACTGATGTTAAAATAACTTTAGCAAACTAAGTGATTATCGTTGATATTCTACATTTTAAGTCACTGGCAGGACTCTATTTTTTTCTTCACTGATGCTCATAAAACTCTCTAAAAATGAATCTGGCCAAACTCCCAAATATATGTGGACCAAAAAAAGAAAAACTTCCAGCAGGGAGCTTTCCAAATGGCTCCAACTCCCCACACTTTAGCCAAAGAGGGAATTCCCCAAATGATCCATGTTTAGAGGGTAGCCGTGATTGCTTTTCACTCTTTCACTCTAATTTATACTTCAGGACATCTCTACAGCTGATTATTTATTCACCTGCATAGCTCTCTTTTTAGCCCATCCCTGCAAGTGTTTTCTAATGTTACTCAGCAGCAACAATATGTTAATGTGATAATGTTCAGGCTAAGTGCATGTTCACATTATCTTAATCATAGTGTGATAACAGTGGCTACGCCTTAAGCATGTTCTTGCCTCAGTCGAATCACGGCCATATGAGTTGTGCTGCTGTAAGTGTTGCCATTTAACACACATGAACACCTGCAGTGTTTCATGTCACTGCGCTGTGCAATTAACCTGTGTCGCTTTAAGGAAAGAGTGATATATCTATCCTCATATTACTTGGAGTGACGCATGCAAGCCGGCGACACTGCGTCACACACACACACAAACGTGCCTCATTCTCTTCACGTGATACACCAAACACATCCTGCCAGTTTGGCAGTCTATTTAAGCTGCAACTTTTCCCATCTCACCCTCTGATGTGTCAGCGCTGCTGCGGCCCTGCATCGCTGCCAAGTGGCAACCTCAAGTGGCAACCTCAAGTGCTGAAAAATTAAGCCAGGCATCAGAAGTTGCAGTTCATATAGCAGCCACTTGAGGGTGGCTCAAAAAATGTTTGGTTTTTTCCATATAGAATCACATATTAAATGTGAGACTACGCAACAAAACCTAGTATGAAAAACATGAAAAACACATTGCTCTCTTTAGGCAATTTTCCCCTTCATACAACAGTTGTACTTTTTTGGGGGGATACTGGACGAGTGGATATCTCATGACCACATGTTTGAACCACTGAAAGGGGACATCTCCAAAGTACTGAGGCCTTTTGGAGTACAATAGAGCCTTAAAATGCAGAGCCCAAAACCAATAGGTGAAGTCATAGTTTATATATACAGTATTGCCTTCAACCCTCTAATCCAGGGGTGTCGAAGTCCAGGACTCAAGGGCCAGTGTCCTGTAGGTTTTAGATATCAACCCTGGGACAACACACCTAAATCAAATGATTAGTTCATTACCAGGCTTCTGGAGAACTTCAAGACATGTTGAGGAGGTAATTTAACCGTTTAAATCAGCCTTGTTGGATCAAGGACACAACGAAAACCTGCAGGACACCGGCCCTCGAGGCCTGGACTTCGACACCTGTGAATTCACTGCTAGTATCCACCTAAAGCAGGGGTCTCGAACTCTGGGCCTCGAGGGCCGGTGTCCTGCAGGTTTTAGATCTCACCCTGGGTCAACACACCTGAATCAAATGATTAGTTCATTACCAGGCTTCTGGAGAACTTCAAGACATGTTGAGGAGGTAACTTAGCCATTTAAATCTGCTGTGTTGGATCAAGGACAAAACCTGCAGGACAGCGGCCCTCGAGGCCTGGAGTTCGAGACCCCTGATAAAGCAGGGGTGGGCAAGTCCAGGCCTCGAGGGCCGGTGTCTTGCAGGTTTTAGATGTGTCCTTGATCCAACACAGCTGATTCAAATGGCTAAATGACCTCCTCAACATGTCCTGAAGTTCTCAAACTAATCATGTGATTCCGGTGTGTTGACCCAGGGTGATATCTAAAACCTGCAGGACACCGGCCCTCGAGGCCTGGACTTGCCCACCCCTGAGCTATAGGTTCTGTTTGGATATCCACTGTATGTATATGTGCTTTTGGACCTTTGATGCAAAATTATGCTGCTGCGATAAATAAATAAATTCAAATGTGAGCTTCCTAAAATGTTTAAATGAATTTATTCTAAATTAAACAGCCCTTTAACATCACACACTGCAAAAAATCTATTAAGGATAGCTATCATAATGATGAGTAACCTCTCATACTCGCATCTTTATGAGCCTTAAAATAATGAAGCAAATCATGACTTGTCTTTTCAGAGCAGCTCATCTGTTGGCACACAGGCCCATGCACAGTTTTTCTTTTTTTTTGTTGCTATATTCGAAGCACAGTCAGTCATGAATCGCGCTATCACATCAAATTATTTTGTGCCTCTGCAGCAGATTGAGGGCGATTTGCCGATTGTTACATTACAGCTTGATTGACGTTGCATTCAGCAACACTCTTTCTGTCTCGGAGAAACTCTAAATTGCTTTCTTAAGTGAGATCAAGAAAGGATTTTCTCATTCGGATATTCCTGTAATGTGGCCCCAGGAGTGAGTCACGCAGGAGTTGTTCACAAAAGCCATTAACTCAGTTCAGTTCAGCTCAGCCTGAAGATTCAGTCTCACGGGATTCATTTGCAACTGCTTCAATAACTGTGGACTTGCCCAACTGTTCTCTGTTGCGCTACCATCCAAATTATGGCATGTTTTGCAAATAAAGGGAGCCATTTCAAATCGCAGATTAAACAGGAGTCCTGCTAAGATCATTTTGCATACACACACCTTCATATCAAACCTAGAAACAGTCTAATCTAAATTATTAACATTTTTGCATGTGTATCATGTACACGAAGTACACCCTTCTCTCTGTATTAATTACAGCTCCCTCATGTCAGTGAGTCCCCCACTGAGTCTGTTGAGGACTCAGCAAGAAAAAACGTAGTTCTCAAGGGATAACACAGGAGTGTGTTTGTGTACACTTTTGAACCCCCCCCCCCCCAAAGAAAAAAACAGCCACTGATGAAGTTAATTATATCATAGCCTGCAGATGTAGCAGGCTGGTTAAAGCACAGTTGATATAAAGGTTATTTACACACCTTTAATCGCACTCCTCTCTGCAGGATTTTGCTTCTTGACTTTGACAAGTATGTTTTTTGAATGTTATTTGAGTGATGACTCAAACATTTCTTGAGAATCACATTATGTTGGAAAATCCTTTTGAGAGTGAAATAAGCCAAAAAGAGAAGGTTTTCTGTTGCAATTACTTCTCTCAATTAAGCTTATTGAATTCAGGGCAATGATGCCCTTTGAGGAAGCACCTGGCAACACTGGGAAGGAAAAACTCTCTTTTGACAGGAAGAAACCTTCAGCCGGGAGGAGATAGAGATCTAATGAGATGTGGTTACTACACCACCTCAGTGACTCCAAGACTATCAAGGTAGCAGGGAATAACTAATAAAGTTCAAACCAAGAAATATATTTGAGTTTGCATGAAAAAATGGCTTCAGACAGTCTAGAGACTTCATGGGCATTGCCATCAAGTCATATGTGGATTTAACATGTATGCACACTCATATCTCAGAGCTTAGATGGCATTTGTAATGACTACCATGTAGCTCTAAATACAACACATATAGTCACTGTTAAAGGAAAGTGTGTATTCTTTAAATTCTAAGGCTTTATGTAACAGGACATAATCTAATCTGGTCCTTAGTGGGTCTTAAAATTAGGTAAATGAAACCTTGGCTGAACTACCAATCCTGCCATATTACCCTATGCCATTATGTATTGATTAAAAACAAACCCAAGATATAGCACTAGTGCATATGAAAAGTAAGTACAGCCTTACTGTCTTACTGTTCCATGGGAAGGTGATGATAATCAAAAGGACTTGATTATTGATCAGCAGCAAGTGTGAGCACCTTATTAAAAATAAGTTATGGCAGTTTGCTTGTCTGGAGCATTGAGTATGTGTTTAACCCATTTCCAAGGAGGAAAGACATAAGCAATTAATGCAATGGTTGGTTACTGATATTCCCAGAAATTCACACCTAACCATGAAATGCTCAGAGAACCTGAAAAAAAAAAAAAAAACTGCATCTTTACAGGGACTTTACAGGGCTCAGTCAGCATGTTAAAAGTTAACAGTCATGATGGTACCATTATAAAAGCACTGAACAGGTATGGCTTTTTTGGAAGCGTTGCCAGGAGAAAGCCTCTTCTTTTGCAAAGTTGCATCAGAGCAAACCACAAATACTTCTGGAACAAGGCATTTCGGAAAGACAGAAACAAAGTTTGGCGATGAAAACCAAACACTGCATATCAGCACAAACACTTAATACCAATTGTCACGGTGGTGATGATTTAGGCTTATTTTGCAGCCACAGGTTCTGGGCACCTTGCAGTCACTGAGTTGACCATGAACTCATCTTTACACCAAAGTACTCTCGAGTCAAATATGAGGCCAGCTAAAGCTTGGCCAAACTTGGATCATGAAACAGGACAATGATCCCAAGCACAGCAGCATATCTAAAACAGAATGGCTGAAAAAACTAAAGAATTTAGGTGATGCAACGGTCCAGTTAAAGCCCGGACTTCAACCTGATTGAAATATTGTGGAAAACCGTGCACAAATGACTGCCCCCCTTTGGTTTTGTGTTAATTTTTCTATTACATTTAGCATTTTTAACACTTGCCTGACACTCACTGCCCTGTCCACTCCCCCATTGCAGTCAATTTATTTATTTATTTATTTTGTAAAGGGCTATGTTGCCATTTTGAGAAGTAAAATCAAGCTGTGTCATTTGAAGAGTGAGATGCGAAGCCTGATGCCACTCAGTCAATGCATTAAGCTGCTGAAACTTTGGTAAGCCTGATATGGCTGGTGAAACATTAATCTGACTTAAGCACACATTCTTGTATTTGGCTTCTGTCCATCAACAAATTGTAAAAATTCCAGAAACTCCAAACTGACCTTTTTACATTTCTCTTTGTGTGCAGATTAAACATGTGGCTGACATCTCCAAAACAGCAATGAGCACCTAGATCAGGATTGATAAATGGGTCTGAGATGCCATCTAGTGATTCTGATTGGACCACCCCAGTAAAACTACACCCTCCATTTCTTGATTCAGTGAACAGGGATTAGTAGGCAGGGTTCCCATGGCAACACCAGATGGACAGAAAATACAGAGTGAGGGAGTGACAGAGACGAGAAGAAGAAGAAGAGAAAGGAAAGTCACAGGGAGAAAAACACAATGAAACTTCAACTTTAGGTTGGCCCTTGTACACCCACACAAACACCCACTGAGAAATACACACAAAGACAGAACCAAGGGTGGTATCGTGACACAAAGGTCACATTTTAATGGTTTACTCTGTTTTTAATATGTTGTTGGGAGCCAGGAATCCATTAAGCTGCACCAATCCCGATTGTTTAACTGAGGCTTATTTAGCTATCTAAGCAATTTGCTCCAATCCAATGAATATCAGAAGGACTCGAGGAGAAGAAGTGTGAATGAATCACTCGTTCAGAGAACTGATGACTGAAAGGTCTGTTCATCAGATGTGTAACAGAATCCAGATATTTTGTTCGATATTATTAAAATGGCAGCTGTCGTGTCATTGAAATGAAGGTCTAAATTTGGAGAATTATAAACTCTTTACGTTTCAGTGTAAACCCAATAAGGGTTACGTGCAAAACATATATGTCACCTATTGTGTTGTTTGTTAACAACAACAGCAAAAAAAAGTATACTTTACAACTTTAAGTACACTCATTAGTTTTATTGTGTTTCATTGTTCCTTAAATGAATACAGTTTTTGCAGTTTTGCTTTAACTGCTCAGGGATTACAACTATTTTTACCCAAATGCCCCATTTTTAAATTTAGAGGAAGTTATTGGACATCATTTTAAAAATAGGAATTATTTTTGTAACAAGAAGTCTAGAAGCCATGGACATCACCAAATGCTGTTTCCTCCCTTTTAGACTTGTAGTCAAGACCGCCTAAACCAAGACTAAGACAATACCAAGACCAGAGGGTATCGAGACCAAGACGAGACCAAGACCAAGACAAGACCAAGACCAAGACGAGACCAAGACCGAGACAAAAAAGTCTTTAAACTGCAGCCAGATGCTGCTTTGTTTACGGGTGTCAGGATATCCTATATCCTCGCTTGTGATTGGCCACAATATGGAGGGATTGGAGAATAGCTGAGCCACTGTGTGAGAGCTGAGCAGCGAAAGGAAATTAAGTGAGGAGTCGACTCTTCTGATTCACTACAAAGCACTCTCTAAGCACGGCTCTTAGAGCTGATGCTTTTGCACATGACACATCAGTTCAGTTCAGTTCAGTTCAGTTCATTTTTATTTCAAACATTTCAAACATGAGCCTTCACAATCATTACCATATATTATTCCATTATTTGTTTGAAAAGGAGTAGGTAGTAGGTAGAAGTATTTACTTATTTGTCCCTACCCCCATTATTGAACGTTACGTTGTGTGTCATGGATACTGTTGACTCCAAATCTCCACTATGTCGATCTGAGACAGCAAGACCGAGACAGCGAGACCAAGACAAGACCAAGACCAAAGTCCGTCGAGACCAAGACAAGACCAAGACCGTAAAAGTGGTCTTGAGACCGGTCTCAAGACATCCAACTCTACTCCCTTTAGATACTCTGCTAGGCCTTCACTGCAGCTACCTTCAGTTGCTGCTTCTTTGTAGGTCTTTCTGCATTTTGTTTTATCTTCAGTAACCAGAAGGTGTTTTATCTCATTTCTTTTCATCCAAGAAACTTGTGTTGGACTATGAAGTGCAACCCAAGTGTATTAAGTTTTGAAGCATATGGCTGAATCTGAGCAAAGGGTACAGCCTTTAATGGTCATCCTACTACTTCTATCACCATCATCAATTAAAATCTAGTGGCCAGTTTCCACTGGCAGGCATACATGCCTGTGTCATAACATTGCCTCCATGAAATTTGACAGATGATGTGGTATGCTTCAGATCATGTTTCTTCCTTTTTCTGTACTTTTCTCTTCCCATCTTTCTGGTACAAACTTTATCTTGGTTTCATTAGTCTAGAAATTTTTGAAAAGCTGGGCAGCCTTGCTTTAGATGTTTTCTGGCAAAGTGTAACCTGGCCTATATGTTCTTTAGTGTAACCAGTGGTTTGCACTTTCCTGTAAACCCTCTGAATGTGTATTCATAAAGCATTCTTAATTATAGACCTTAATAATGATATGCCTCCAACTTGACTTGGCTGGACGTTGCTCTACATCATGGTCTTTGTTTAAAAGTTCTGATGACAATACAATGGCTCATGTGACAAAACAAATGCCATCCACCGGCTGCTTCTCTTTTAGAGTTGCCTAAGCAACCTGTGTGCTCCTCCTCTCCGACCAGTCCGACCCAATCAAGGACAAAGATGAAAAGCTGCTGCACTGACAAATGCAATTCCTACCTGTACTATGGGCCAATGATGTTTCAGGTGCCGCTGCAAGAGGTGTTGTTCTGTCTATCAGTCTCCCTGGATATTAGTGGTGGGTGGAGCTTATATCCCCGGGTGATGGCCTGTGGTTGGTCAGCTTCATCTCTGCTTCCTTATAACTCCACCCACTGGGCCTCCACAAGGCTTTACGGGTACCACACTTTGCTGAACATGTTTGTGTTTGTCGTTCTGTTGAGCTGTTTCTCAGTTTTTGTTAAGCTCCCCGTCTGTCTGTCTGTCAAAGCTGATTCTTCTTGTGTCGTCTTCATACAGTTTTCCTATGTGAACAGAAAAAAAGAAAATGGTTTTTGAAGTGAAGTAGCTAATTGTTCACTAAGACATACCTCTACACCTGCCAAATGCAACCTCCGGGGGCAGTGTTGGGCAACACAACAATTTTAATGTCATGGTCATATTTTCCACTACAGCTCATATTGGCCCATAAAGCGCAGATGACCCCTTATTCTGAACCACACAAACACAAACGATCAGAGGACCAACAGGAAATCAGCTTGATAATACCCATGCTCTCCACAGAGCACAGCAATGCTCATGCTCTATGGGCACACAAATAAGAGGATCCTGGCTGAAACATGACAGTCATGCTCTAATTAATTCACAATGTTTGGGAAATCAACAAATACAAATGTTATTTTCTTTAAAGTTTAACTTTTGCTAATTTCCCCTTCAATGTCATCATCTCATGCATTTCAGGATCACCTTCAGCTGCTATTTTTATATCACTCCCTAGAAATAATGTTAGGACCACTTGGATCTTTTAAAAACATGACAAGGCTTTTATGTGAGAATCTGGTCATTGGATATGACCAAGCGTTTCCAACAGATTTCAGTCCAAGAGTCCACAGTTGGACCCTCAAAGGCAAAGATGACAGTGGCCAGATGAAGGTGGCCACATTTAAACCAGGACGCCTCATAGTACCAAATTATCAAGCCTGCACCAGTGTGCGCTGTAGAGAGAATGAATCAAGCAGGGATGGACATGTGTACCACAACACAATGTTTTAAATTAGTGATAAAAAAATTGCAGATTTATCGCCCACATTCTTAGAAGTTTTTGAAAAAGTGTTTAAAAAATGTCAGACCGAGGCAGACAAAAGCAGCTGACGCCATTATCTTGGATTTAATCAGCAAAAATGACAAAAATAATAACTGTTGTTAGCTTATTTTATCAGCATTTAAAAGTATATGCACTATCTTTACATGACACATCATTTATATACTGTGTTCTTATGTTTTAAATAACAATTTGTTTGTATAACAAGCTGCTAATATTTGCCTATGTAGTATTATCTCATTTGTCATACTCAAGTCCTGAAAGTGGATTAAAAACAAAAAATGAAGAAAAACCCAACAATGATAAAGTAAAACTGTTTCCTTACCACATTGCAACCTTTTCTGTATTACATAGAGAAAAGATTTTCTTCTATATGTGTATGAAAAATGCCACAATTACAATAAAAAAACACAAATAATGTGTTATATTCAATAAAATAATATACTGAATTTTAATATCATATATTATTTAAAACCCCCTGAATGACACGGATCTATGGTACACTTTGTGTTTGCTCTAACTCAAAATGCTATTTCAGTTGTCACTTAAAAAACGTAGTGGATCTTTTATCTACATTAACACAATCATTTAAGCTGTGCATAAAATCTCAATGTGACAATGCTGAGATGGTGTTTTGTCAGATCTCTGGTAGAACAAAGTGAGTGTTGTGGCACTGATGGAAGACAACAGCAGTCTTTAGTAAAGACTGAAATGAAGGGTTATAAATACTGATGTTTTTTTCTGCTCCTGTAGCTTTTGATTTCTTTCATAAGCCTTCTACTTATGAAAGAAATACTTCTTAGGATATAATATTCTCTGCTATTGAGCATACAGACCCCAATTACCCAGCCACAATACACGTAAACATAGTTTATCTAAATGCTATGAATGTAATTGTGGTCCAAGTTGCCGTATCATCTGTTTTTCAGGCTTTATATTATGCTATTAGACGCAAATGTCAGTTAAATTCAACTTTGAGCCAAATTGTACAACGTGCCTCTGATTTTCTGTGCTGCTGTTACCGAAATTAATATATTTAAATAGTTTATGAGTCTACTGCTCCACACAAACAAACATATTTATACTTTCTTGCTATATTTTAAAAACGTGCCACATGAAAGATACATTAAATCCATAATGCAAAACTATTAATGAAGATTATAGTGGGGGAAATAATTATTTGATCCTTTGCTGAATTTGTAGGTTGGCTAACTTACAAAGAAACGAACAGTCTCTTAATTTTATGGAGAGAGAGCAAAAATCAACAAAAGTCATAACTTGGTTGGCGTGTCATTGAGTGAAATAAGTATTTTATCCCCAAGCAAAACATGACGTAGAACTTGGTGGATAAACCCTTGTTGGTAAGCACATGGTAAAGCTGTTTGTTGTTGGTGGTCACTAGGTTTGCACACATCTCAGGAGCCATTTTTGGCCCAAATCCTTTGAGTTTCTTGGCTGCTGCTTGGCAACTTTAAGCTTTAGCTTCCTCTGCAGACTTTCTATAGTACTGATGTCTGAAGACTAGCTAGGCCACTCCATGACCTTAATGTGCTTCTTCTCTAGCCACTCATTTGGTGGCTTGATGGTATGTCTTGGGTCACTGTCATGGTGGACGATCTATCCCCGACTCATGTTTAGGCTGAGGGAAAGAGGTGCTCTACCAAGATTTTATGGTACATGGCCCCAGCCACTGCCCCCTCAATATGGTACAAACTTGTATATCACTCTTCCTTTTTTAAACTCACTTCATTATCACAAGTGAACTGTTATTATTCCTAAGCAAAGTAAAATTAAAATTTCCATTGGTAGTGAAGTACATTTAACCAATGAGAGAGCAGCAACAGAGGCAGTCTGTCTGTGTGTCAATTTGTCTGTCCAAGTAATGCAAATGACATCCAATAATGGGGATGCTTGTTACCATGGGAATAAAGCATGAGTTGTGAGGTCTGTTGTGGAGACAAAGGCTGTGTCAAACGTATGATTATAATTAGAGACAGAGTAGGTTAGCTCAGATACCAGCACACACAAACACAGCTGTACTGTATATTGACAGAAATGTAGCGTCCCATCTAGAGACAGTGCAGTCTCACTGTAAAACTGTCCTCTCTTTTTCAATCATCTTAAATAAAATCTCCAAATACAAACAGTTCTGCAGGGTTATATTGGATTTGGTGTACTTCCCCTTGCCAAGAATCTCTCTTATCAGACATTTTTGGTTGTTGTTTCTGTATTATGACTACTGTGGCTGTACTGTCTAAAGCATGCTGATGTTTGAGAGCTTCAAGTATCAACTAAATATTTTTAAATTCCTGGTGAAACTTTTCACTTTATTCTATGGATTATTTTCTCCTTCTCTGGAACTTTTTGGGAATCTTGTGTGATAGGTATAACAGACATACAATATCAACATTTCAATTTAGCCAAGTTCAGGTACCAAAGTAGTCGTTCAACAAGTTCCCCTGTCAGTAGATTAAGATGGGTTCAGATGCTTAAAGCAACAAAACTAAAGGTTTCCCCAGGAAACTGGTCATTGGCAATAATAAAGCATGAATAGCCATGTACAAACTTTTAAATCCATTAAAAAAATAATAATAAATCAACTTTTGACATGAATCACACAGATATCTCCTTGCTGCTTACTGAAAAACACAAATCACATCAAATATTGCATGAATGTCTTGAGCCAACCTCATTTTGCTAGGAAATGGGAAATATGTGCAGTGATTTACTGAAATGTGCAAACATATATGGAGATACCAGCTATAAAACTAGTCAACAAGTCAAGGTATGATTATCTTTATTGTTCAACAAAGCTTGAACTCTCTTAGGCAAGCTTTATTGGAGCAGTTTTTAGAAACAGTTCTCCAGGATTCTTGAAGGACATTCAAAGCTCTTCTTTGGATGTTAGATTTCTTTTTGTTCCATTTTATCTTTGCTTTTTTTTTGTCATCTGCTGTAGATTGCTGTAGTTTTTGAGGCCTGCCACATCTTCTTTTGACCTCCATCAGCTTCCTCAGATTTGTTTTTGTATGCACTGCATACTGTGCTGAGATATGCCAAATATTAGTTTAAGAGGCTATATATACCAAAAAACATCTTTAAAGATTTCCAACTATCTGGTCCTTAAGTCTGATGTCATTCGCCGTTTCTGGGTCCAATATATTTAACATCCAGGCATCCATGAAAGCAGAATTTGTGAAATTTAACGGCGTTAGTTAGCAAGTGAGCAGGAAGTTAGCTCGCTAGTTTCCACCTAAACATAATATACCATGTTGTGACTGAGGGACTTCTAAAAAACGAATACGTACTGCTCTGCTATCACTTCCAACATAAATGAAAACAGAAAACTAAACAGCAGTGAGGTTTTGTAGGATTACTGAAGTTGAACTAGCTGGTATATAATGATGTGCTACGTGATGTGCTAGTCACACACCTTTGTTAGCATAATATAAACACACACACTGGAAGGTGAACGTTTGCTTTTTTCCGCTTGATAAAAGTTAACGTGAGAGTTCCCGATGGTTAGGGACAAATGCAATCGCATGGCAGGATGCTGTAAACGGACCAAACTTCAGTCAGGAGAACAACTGAGATAATCCATCCACAGTATGAGGTTAGTCATTCATATACTGCTGCATGTATTTACATCGTAATGTTTTAAAAACTGAGCTTTAAAATGAATAGTGGTAATAAAAAAACAGAGAGGCCGACAGTGATCACTGCATTTTTTTAGGGGCTTGTTCAGATTAAACAGAACAAGATACAAAGCATTACAACATGTTAAAAGCACAACAGCCTTAATGAACTCAGAGTAGTTTGGATCCAGAAGCAGGGTTCATATGTCATCACTTAAAGACTTGATAACATTGAGACTTGATTGAATTTCAAGTATACAGATCAGCCTCAACTCAAGCCTTTTTTTGGCATTTATCTAAAAGTAATGTATCACCTACAATAATGTAAACAAAGCACACACTGACATCTACATTCCCCAACAGCATTTGGTTGACCCTGTAGGACAATGTGCCATTCGACAGCACAAAAACTGCTCAGTAATGGCTCGAGGTACAAGTCTCCAACTTTCAAATCCTAATTTAATGATGTATCTCCAGGATTCTCATCTGAGGGAGGCCAAATGACAACCTCAGATATCAAATGTCCATGGTCAGAGCTGTTTTGGAGCTATTATGGCAGTCTACTCAA